GAAACTGCGTTTTAAATAATTACAACTCCCAAAATTCGGTAGAAATAAGTCACAAGCTTCTAAGAGAAAATACTAAGTGTCTCTATACATCAGAGTCTAAAGAGAATAAGGAAAATAACATAATAAGGATAGATGGGACTCCGAGGTCTGCTGACGCTGGAAGATATACCTTGAAGTCTCCACGTACGGTCCAACTCACTAGTATCTGGCCTGGTAGGAAGAACCTCGATCTGCACAAAAAGATGTGCAGAAGTGTAGTATGAGTACACCACAACGGTACCCAGTAAGTGCCAAGCCTAACCTCAGTAGAGTAGTGACGAGGTCAGGTCAAGGCCCTACTAGAATAAAAGGAAATGAGGCAGAAAATGTAATAATATAATGAAATGACTAAGAAATGAACAACAAGAAATTTTGAGAAAGGTAACAACACCACAAATAGAGGTAAACAACAGGGGCGCTCCCGAGGGATCGCCTCGTAGTCCCAAATATAAATACACAACAGAGGGATCTCCCGAGGTACCGCCTCGTAGTCCCAAAAGTAAATATGCAACAGGGGGATCTCCAGAGGTACTGCCTTGTAGTCCCAAAAGTAAATATGCAACAGGGGGATCTCCCGAGGTACCATCTCGTAGTCCCAAAAGTAAATACACAACAGGGGGGGTCTCCCGAGGTACCACTTCGTAGTCCCAAAAGTAAATATGCAACAGGGGGATCTCCCGAGGTACCATCTCGTAGTCCCAAAAGTAAATACACAACAGGGGGGGTCTCCCGAGGTACCACTTCGTAGTCCCAAAAGTAAATATGCAAACTCATAACCTATGGAATAACGAATTTACACCAAGTATGTTGCACAAATTTCAAGTAAAAGTTAAGACACGTAGCCATGCGATACTAGGCTAAACATGACAACTACACATGCTAAGGCAACTCAGTTAAGGAATTAAAAAGAAGACTACTCAGCAAGTACCGGAAATTCCACATTTAGCATGTGTACGCACTCGTCACCTTGCGTACACGATGCTAACATATCACAAATTGTTACAACAATACCAAATCCTAAGGTGAGGTTCCCTCACACAAGATTAGACAAGTCACTTACCTCAAATATCACTCAATCAATCGATAAGAATGCCTTTCCCTTGACATTCCGACTCCGATCGGGTCAAATCTAGCCAAAACAATCATATACTATAAATATATTTACAAGAAACTAATTTAAATAATGAAACTACGACTTTAGCAAAAAATTGAAAACTCGGCCCAAAAGGTCGACCCGGGCCCATGTCTCGGGATCGGTAAAAGTCAAAAAATATGAACACCCATTCAACCATGAGTCCAACCATACAAATTTTACTAAAATCCGACACCAAGTCGCCACTCAAATCCCCAAATTAAACTCTCCAAATCCCTAGCCTCAAACTCCCAAATTCCACCTTAAATACACACAAACTAGGTGGGAAAATCAATGGGGAAACAAGATTATTGATAAAAAATGAGTACAAGAGACTTACCCCAAGAAATCCCTCAAAGATGATCTCAAAAATCGCCAAGACCCGAGCTCAAAATGTTTAAAATGAAGCAAAATCGCGAACCCTTGTATTTAAGTGTTCTGCCAGTACTTCCGCTTCTGCGGCGTCGCAGAAGAGACCACTCACTCGCATCTGTGGCTTCTTCCGCTCCTTCATCCCCTCACTCCGCCTCTGCGGACTCATTTCAGTGAGCTTACAAGACGCTTCTGCGGTCCCAGCTTCCATGCCCAACTCCACTTCTGCGGCCTTCACACCGCACATGCGACCATAGGCCATTTCCTCTAGCCCCACATTTGCGCACAAATGCTCGCCTCTGCGAGCTCGCACCTGCGGTCAAAGTTACGCAGGTGCGATTACACCAGAACTGGTGCACTTCAACCATTCTCACAAGTCCAAATTGATCTATTAACCATCCGGAAATCACCTGAAGCCCTCGGGACCTCGACCAAATATACCAACTAGTCCTAAAATATCATACGAACTTAGTTGAGCCTTTAAATCACAACAAACAACGCTAAAAACACGAATTGTGCATCGATTCAAGCCTAATAAACTTTAAAACTTCAAACTTCTACATCTGATGCTAAAACCTATCAAATCAAGTCCGAATGACCTTGAATTTTGCACACAACTCATAATTGATATTATGGACCTACTCCAACTTCCAGAATCAGAAACCGACCCGGATATCAAAAAGTTCTCTCCCGATCAACTTCCCTAAAATTATCCAATTTTCCAAATTTCACCAATTGACGCTAAAATGACCTACGGACCTCCAATTTAACACCCGAACACGCTCTTATGTCCAAAATCACCCTACAGCGCTATTGGAACCTTCAGAACTCCATTCCGGAGTCGTTTTTACACAATTCAAACTACGGTCAATTCCTAGAACTTAAACTCCAAATTTAGGGACTATCTATCCCATTTCACTCCAAAACCAAAAACAAATCCCCCGGCAAGTCACATACCCACAAAATGTAATAGAGGGAGCAATAAATAGGGGTTCGGGGCTAATACTCTCAAAACGACCAGCTGGGTCATTACACCCCCCCCC